GCCTGTAGTTTGTATTGTCTTAATGAAAAAATCCCCAGTTTTCAAATCAGTCTTTGTATAGCTGGTTCCTCATACCAGGCAGCATACTGTGACGATGTACTAAACACTCCATAAACATTCTTTCTACTGTGGAGCTGACAACAGCACACAATGTTTCCTTTGTGGACTTGCCAAGCTCGTTCTTCATGTTGGAATGTTTTCTTATATTAAAAGAACAGTACAAATATAAGATGTTGTTCTTGATTCTGAATGTCATGATGTGGAGGTGCCAGTGTTGGACTGGGTTGTGATTTCTGATTATGAATGTGATAGTGGTTAAAGATCATTCTTGTAGGGACTGCCATGGAGTGGTGCTGAGGACAAGCTCAGCAGTGACACCAAGTGGCTCTCAATGGAACTGTTACTGTTTGTAGAGATAGTAGGAACTGCAGATGCTGGAGAATCTGAGGCAACAAGGTGTAGAGCTGGATGAACACAGCAGGCCAAGCAGCATCAGAGGAGCAGGAAAGCTGACGTTTCAGGCCTAGACCCTTCTTCAGAAATGGGGGAGGGGAAGGGGATTCTGAAATAAATAGGGAGAGAGGGGGAGGCGGATAGAAGATGGATAGAGGAGAAGATAGGTGGAGAGGAGACAGACAGGTCAAAGAGGCAGGGATGGAGCCAGTAATGGTGAATGTAGGTGGGGAGGTAGGGAGGGGATAGGTCGGTCCAGGGAGGACGGACAGGTCAAGGAGGTGGGATGAGGTTAGTAGGTAGGAGATGGGGGTGGGGCTTGAGGTGGGAGGAATGGTTAGGGAGGCGGGGACGAACTGGGCTGGTTTTGGGATGCGGTTGGGGGAGGGGAGATTTTGAAGCTTGTGAAGTCCACATTAATACCCTTGGGCTGCAGGGTTCCCAAACGAAATATGAGATGCTGTTCCTGCAGCTTTCGGGTGGCATCATTGTGGCACTGCAGGAGGCCCAGGATGGACATGTCATCCAAGGAGTAGGAGGGGGAGTTGAAATGGTTCGCGACTGGGAGGTGCAGTTGTTTGTTGCGAACCGAGCTTAGGTGTTCCGCAAAGCGGTCCCCAAGCCTCCGCTTGGTTTCTCTGATGTAGAGGAGGCCACAACGGGAACAGCGGATATAGTATACCACATTAGCAGATGTGCAGGTGAACATCTGTTTGATGTGGAAGGTCTTGTTAGGGCCTGGAATGGGGGTGTGGGGGAAGGTGTAGGGGCAGTTGTAGCACTTCCTGCGGTTGCAGGGAAAAGTGCTGGGGGTGGTGGGGCTGTTGGGGAGTATGGAGCGGACAAGGGAGTCATGGAGAGAGTGGTCCCTCCGGAAAGCAGAGAAGGGTGGGGAGGGAAAAATGTCTTTGGTAGTAGGGTCAGATTGCAGATGGCGGAAGTGTCGGAGGATGATGAGTTGGATCCGAAGGTTAGTGGGGTGGTACGTGAGGACGAGGGGGATTCTGTTTTGGTTGTTATTGCGGGGAGGGGGTGTGAGGGATGAGTTGCAGGAAATGCGAGAGACACGGTCGAGGGCGTTTTCGACCACTGTGGAGGGGAAGTTGCGGTCCTTGAAAAGCCTACCGACTCCCACAGCTACCTAGAATACACCTCCTCTCACCCACCTTCCTGCAAAAAGGCCATTCCCTATTCCCAATTCCTTCGCCTCCGCCACATCTGCTCCCGAGATGAGGCATTCCACTCCCGGACATCCCAGATGTCCTTGTTTTTCAAGGAACAGCATCTCATATTTCGCTTGGGAACCCTGCAGCCCAAGGGTATCAATGTGAACTTCACAAGCTTCAAAATCTCCCCTCCCCCAACCACATCCCAAAACCAGCCCAGCTCGTCCCCGCCTCCTTAACCATTTATCCCACCTCAAGCCGACCCCCATCTCCTACCGATTAACCTCATCCCGCCTCCTTGACCTGTCTGTCCTCCCTGGACCGACCTATCCCCTCCCTAACTCCCCACCTACATTCACCTTCACTGGCTCCAACCCCGCCTCTTTAACCTGTCCGTCTCCTCTCCACCTATCTTCTCCTCTATCCATCTTCCATCTGCCTCCCCCTCTCTCCCTATTTATTTCAGAATCCCCTTCCCCTCCCCCATTTCTGAAGAAGGGTCTCGACCCGAAACGTCAGCTTTCCTGCTCCTCTGATGCTGCTTGTTACTGTTTGTAACCTGGCAGAGAAAAAAATAAAAAACTGCAAATGATGGAGATGTCATTTAATAAGCAGGAAATACTAGAAATGTTCACAAATGATCAGTATGGCTTTTAGGAAAAGATTTTTGCTCAAAATCTCAAATCATTTTTCTGCCAGACTTGGACATGAAAGGTGAATTTGAGGGGTGAGGTGAGAGTGACTATCTTTGATATCAAGGTGACATTTGACTGAGTGTGGCATCAAAGAGCCCAGCAAAATTGAAGTAAGTGAGATTGGGGCTGGGAGGGAATTTCTCTACTGACTGAAGTCATACCCGGTACAAATGAAGATGGTTGTTGAAGACCAATCATAGCAACTCCAGAACATCTCTGGAGGAGTCCATCTGGCTGTCCTCATCCCATTTCCAGCTGTTCCATCGTGACCTTCCTTTGATTGTAAGGTCAGAAGCAGGGATGTCTACTGAGGAACAATGACCACTTCCAACAAAGAACCTAAATGTGCAAAAACAATCCTAACACCTTCTCTCCCCACCACTGATTGACAAGCAATCTTCTTCTGGAGAAGACTCAATCTATCCTTGACTGACTTTGAGACGTGATTGTCTTTTGACTTGGCTGTTAGCCTATTTTTGGTATGATTTAAGAGTAGATGATTGTATCGTTGAGATAACTTAATGGTCACTTAATAGATTAACATATGTTCGTAAGTGAAAAGCAAAATTTTGCATTATTAATGGCAGTTTTACTAGATTTTCAAAGGTTTGTTTTTTTCAGGAGCTTAAAAGAATTATTATTGATATTATTTAGTTCATGGATACTGCATAGGGGATACTAGGCGGTGGTTATGGGGAATACAGTGAGGGCATTGAGTGGACATGGATGCAGTGTGTGTGGGATATGAGGGGCCATGGGTTGGCATGGAGGATTTGATGGGGCGTGAAAGGAGCGTATGGATGATCTGAAGAGGTGGCATGCGATGAGGTACATGGGGCCTTTCAGCATTGTTGACAGCAGGACTAATATCTTTGTCTAACAAGACTGTCTGTGCACCTCCATTCCTCCCAGACTCCAACACAGCTCCCAAGGTGTATTGCAAGCCCAAACCCTGTCTGAGATAATAAAAGTTCCAGGTAAGGTCACAGATGAGTCATGTGTGCATTTTGGAAGGTGCCAAAGTGCATAAATCATGATTCCTGACCCACACGAAAATCCAGGCCAATGTATTTGAAGATTTAAGACCTACAACCTCCTGCCACAGTGTTTTGAGTGTACAACACAGCAGTGGATTCAACATAAGGTTTTTATTCAAATAACTGAAGACATTTGTCTACAGTCCGTGCACCTCATTATAGAAGTCATATGACTACAGTAGACTAAGAGGGACATTTGTACATGATTGCATTCCAATCCACACACACAGGCCTAAGGCAATTGAATAAGCAATGGAATAATTAACTGATTGTCCCTAGAGAAGACAGACTAATCCATTTTAACATATCAATTTTGCATGAGTAGTATGGATTCTCTCTCAATCAGAGAAGTTAAGCTCACTCCAAGCAAAATTAATGCCAGGTCAAAAGTCCTATTTGTATAACTATCAAAAATATGGCTGAGGCTTGTCTGACTCTCTGAAGCACCTTGAGATGTGTTACTGTTTTGAAGGTGCTGCGTAAATATAATTATTGTCACCATACCTCAATGTGAAAAGTCTCATTATCCAGTCCAGTTTTTGAAGAAAAGAGAATTATGTGGTAGAAGGTCTTAAATTCCAATATTAAGTATACTTGGCAAGATGTTCACTCTAATCCCTGACCACACTGCATTTACTTAAGAATTGGATAGAAAAGGGTGCAGTCTGTTTCGTTAGATACCCTCAGACACTCTTAATGCTAAACTATGAGGACATCTAATCCAAAAGCATGAAAACGTGGTAATTAGATCACAACAGATCTCTTATCCACCAGTAGTTACATTCTAGAATTTCCAACCAACCTGATAATCTTGTGGATGAAAGATGAAACCTGTAATTTTAAGAGAAAGTCTGAGTGCTGGCACTAACTAGTAGTTGTTGGATATGACACCCATTCTGGCATGATCTGAGGTTATTTTTATTTGGAAGTATCACTCCAGAAACCACAAGGATATTCTCTGGTGGTAAGTTTTTAAAATTCATTTGTGGGACATTGGCATTGCTGGCTGGTCAGCATTTATTGGCCACCCCCAGGTGCCCTTGAGAAGGTGGTGGTGAGCTGCCTTCTTGAACTGCTGCAGTTCACCTGCTGTAGGTTGACCCACAATGCCATTCGGGAGGGATTACCAGGATTTTGACCCAGTGACAGTGAAGGAATGGCAGTATATTTCCAAATCAGGATGGTGAATGATTTGGAGGAGAACTTAGAGGTGGTAGTATTCCCATTTATCAGCTGCCGTTGACCTTCTGGATGGAAGTGGTTATGGGTCTGGATGGTGCAGTCTAAGAATCTTTGGTGAATTTCTGCAGTGTTTCTTGTAGATAGTACACACTGTTGCTACCGAGCATTAGTGGTGGAGGAAGTGGATGTTGGTGGATGTGGTATCAATGAAACAGGCTGCTTTGTCCTGAATGGTGTCAAGCTCGTTGAGAGTTGTTGGAGCTGCACTCATCTAGACAAGTCAGGAATATTGCATCACACTCCTGACCTGTTTAGGGAGTCAGGAGGTGAGTTACTCGCCACAGTATTCCGAGCCTCTGACCTGCTCTTGTAGCCATTGTGTTTATGTACCAGGTCCAGTTCTGGTCAATGTTAAGTTGAAGGCCTAAATTTTGTTTTTTTAAAAACAAATTTTATTTTTATTTCAGTTCCTTGAGAAGCAGGACTGTGAGCGAATACACACCATGCGTAATGCTATGTGGGTCCATGCCAATCAACTCTCCCAGGGGTGTGTGACCAGTGACGAGGTAAGAGTTTATCGTATTCTCATCCAATTCAGATCCCTTCTCCTCAGTCTTTTATTTCTTGCCTACCTGAGTATAAAGACAGACAAGCTGACTTACTCCTTTAAAAGTAGTATTTCTATAAACTTTGCAGCAGATCTGATTTCACAAGACTGTTCCTATTTTTTTTCCTTTATTCATTAATGGGATGAGGGCGTCACTGGCCAGTCAGTATCTATTGCCCATCCCTAATTGCCCAGAGGGCACTTAAGAGTCAACCACACTGCTGTGGATTTAGAGTGACATGTAGGCCAGACCAGATAAGGATGGCAGTTTCCTTCCCTAAAGGATATTAGTGAACCAGATGGGTTTTTCCTGACAATTGACAATGGATTCATGATCATCATTAGATTCTTAATTCCAGATTTTTTAAAAAATTGGTGTATTTTCAGCTTGCAGACTTTTTTTTGATCCTCCTTCAGCTTTCTTTCTGCTTCATCCTTAGATGTATGAAGAAATACGAAAGGTGCTGGAACAGTGCAACATACAACGAGACTTAGAATTCTTCATAGACCTGAAAAGGACTGGTGACACTCCACCAGGTAAAGCTGTTACCTTTAGCAGGAGGCCGTAATACAGCTTATAATGTGCATCCTATGCAGTTAGTTTTTGTGAAAGGATATTGTTTACAGTCCAGAATTAGTTTGTGTAGTAAAGTCTTGTTGGACCAAAGTGAACCTTTTGGTCATGTTCAGAGATTCAGTAGTGAACCCATCGTTCTGGCTGCGGATGCAAGCTTATGAGTCTGTTCTAGGCAGTGCCTTCTTCACAGAGAATAATTAAAAAGTGGAGATTCACCCCAATGTCTGGTCTTGCTCAGTAAGTGTAGACTGACATCGAAAGAAACCTGAAAGCAGGTCTAAGAGCACTAAGGTCCAAAATAGGTTTGCATAAAAAGCACTTCTGCGGTGCAAAAGGGGATTGAAAATGCGGTAAGATCAGATCAGCACCCGCTTAACTTTTATAATGTAAAGAACCCAGCTAATGCTAATAATGGATCAGTCAGATCCCAGATTGAATCTATTTAAAGTAAGTTTACGTTTTGCAGTTGGGCAATGTGGTGGGGAGTCACTAAAACATTTGAACAAGGTTGCAACTGTCCTTTAATGAAAGAACACAAATTTATTACTCAAAAGAGAAATAAGAGTCTGCTTCCTCACAGCATGCTGACTACATATGACGTTAAGTCTCCTCACCAGTTGTACAGCTTAACAGTTGTTTCCTGCATGGTGCCTCCTCTATGTCTATCTGTTTTTTAATTCCCACCAACCGCTACTCCATATATGTTCTTTAATGACCAGTAATCTCTTTTAAGTTCCCTAATGAAAATCTAGCAACAAGTTAGATTGTTCCTAGGCATTGTTGAATGTAAGTAACGATTTGTCAAACTTAGCAGTCCCTTTGAGTTATTTGTTTCCTGAATGCTATAATATTCAGTGTGGTACAAATCGCATGCAAAAATACACTATTAATCACAATAATATGTAACACCATCATATATAGAAAAGGTTATGTTTTTGGATAATAATATAACCAGCTGCATTTTGTCTCTTTTTTTCCCCTATTCAGCCCCCATCCCGTATGAGAATTACTACACTGGCCAGAGGGGGCTGCCTCCGAGCCGGGTTCCGGTCACCTCAAGGTGAGTGCCATATAAAGGAATGTACTTCATAGTTCAGTGTTGTTTATACTGTCTGTTCAAGTTCCTTCAGTCTGTTCCAGAGTGTATATCTCCGTATATATGTATACAGATGGAGGAAGGAAACACTGTCAAATCAGACTCTCACATCATAAATGAGATGTCTCAAACCTGGCAGCTTTGAATATATTGTGTATGGTACATAATCTGCTTTGAATTGAATATATATTTCTTGCTGTCTCCTGGGTCCTCACTTTCATACAGAAAACTGATTATGGTTTGGGCAATACATTTCAATTGATGTTGCTGGAAAAGCTCAGCAGATCTGGCAGCATCTGTGAAGAAAAATCAGAGTTAACGTTTCAGGTCCGGTGACCCTTCCTTAGAACGGACCCGAAACGTTAACTCTGATTTTTTCTTCACAGCTGCTGCCAGACCTGCTGAGCTTTTCCAGCAACTTCTGGTTTTTGTTCCTGATTCACAGCATCTACAGTTCTTTTGGTTTTTACATTTCAATTGATGGTCCATGATCTGTAATAGCGGGATGTTGGTTCAGGATCAGTAAAGCTGGGAAATTGATACAAGAATTATGATGGTGAGAAGATGGCCCAGAATGTAGAAAAAAAAAGCTTAACTGGAAGTTTGAGTAAAAGAACTAAGAGCGATGTACATGGAGGTGAAATACAAAGAACAGAGAACAGTACAGCACGGAACAGAGCCTTCGGCCCACCAAGACAGCATTGACACATGGTGCTTTTCTAAATTAAAACCCTTTTGCATCTACACAGCCTGTATCCCTCTAGTCCCTGCCTGTTCTAGTATCTGTCAAGATGCCTCTTAAATGTTACTGATATCAGCCTCCATCATCTCCTCTGGCAGCGCACTCCAGGCACTTGCCATCCTCTGTGTAAAAAAAATCTTGTCTCTCACATCTTTGAATTTACTCCTTTTTATCTTAAACCCAGGTCCCCTGGTAATTGACATTTCTAACCTGAAAAAGGACTCTAACTATCCATTATATCCATGCCTCTCCTAATTTTGTAAACTTCAACCAAGTCACTTCTCATCCTTCAATATTGAAGTGGAAACAGATCCTGTTTGTCCAATCTCTCCTCACAGCTAACACCTCCAAACCAGGCAACATCCTGGTATAACAAGGTGTAGAGCTGGATGAACACAGCAGGCCAAGCAGCATCAGAGGAGCAGGAAAGCTGGTAAACCATTTCTGTACCCTCTCCAATATTCCAAATGTGGCCTAACTAAAGTTCTATCAGCTGCAACATGACTTGCTAAGTTTTATACTCCATTCCCCAACCAATGAAGGTAAGCATGCCATATGCCTTCTTGGTCTGAGGTTCAGTGTGGACTTGTTGGGCCGAAGGGCCTGTTTCCACACTGTAGGAATTCTATGATTCTATGACCACCCTATCCCCTTTTGTTACCACTTTCAGGGCACTGTGAATCTGTATGCCTAGATCCCTCTGTATGTTAATCCTACTAAAGCTTCTGCCACACATTGTATACTTCCCTCCTGCAATAGATCTCTCAAATGCATCATTTCGCATTTGTCTGGTTGAACTCCTTCTGCCATTTCTTTGTCCAAGTCTCGTGCTGTATCCTCTGGCAATTCTCCTCACTATCCACAGCTCTCCAAATCTTTGTGTCGTTTCCCAAATTTATCAAATTAGACCACCTACATTATCCTCTAAATCATTTATATATATTACAAACAATATAGGCCCCAGCACTGATCCCTGCAGAACACCACTGGTCACAGATCTCCAGTCAGAAAAACATCCTTCTACTGCTACTGTCTGTCTTCTATGACTAAATCAGTTCTACATCCATCTTACCAGCTCACCATGGATCCCATGTGACATCACCTTTTGTATCTGTCTGCCATGAGGGACCTTGTCAAAGGCAATATTAAAATCCACGCAGCTTTCATTTCCTAATTTAATCCTGGTGAGATTTTACCAATTAAAGAATGTAACAATGAATGGAAATAATTGGCTATATATTCCAGTTAATTTGGACTGAATATTTACTGCTTATGGGAGCAATATTACTCACAATCTTGCTTTCTTTACTTCAGGCGTGTGCCCCTACCAAGTTCTGACAATTCAGCATGTAAGTAGCTATCTCCATGAATTATTAATAAATCAAATTAAAGCAATCAAAGCAATTGAAGCCATTTTGACGTTCAGTTGATTCTCTATGAGCTGTTTTAAGCTTCATGTTATTACCTTTTTATTTGCGTAATGAGGCTGATGTGCCAATGTGTGGATGGTCTTTGGCTTTACATAGGAAGTGTGTTGTAGTTAGGAACATAGAAACAGGTTTAGGCCATTCAGCTCCTCAAGCTCCTCAAGTTAGGAACATAGAAACAGGTTTAGGCCATTCAGCTCCTCAAGCGTGTTCTGTCTTTCAATGAGATCTTGGCTGATCTGTGGCCTGGCTCCACGTACCTGCCTTTGGTACCTTGCTTAACAAAACTTTAGATATCTCAGATTTAAAACCAACAACTGATCTAGAATCAACTGCCATTTGTGGAAGAGAGTTCCAAATCTTTGCCACCCTTTGTGTGTAGAAGTGCTTCCTGACATTGCTCCTGAACAGTCTGGCCCTAATTCTCAGACTATGCCCCCTGGTTCTAGAATCCCCACCCAGTGGAAATAGCTTTTCTTTATCTGCCCTTTTATTTCCTGTTAATCTCTTAAAGACTTTGATTAGGTCAACCCTTAACTTTCTAAATTCTAGAGAAAACAGGCCTAATTTGTGTAATCTCTCCTCATAACTTAACCCCTGAAGTCCAGGTATCATTCTTGTAAACCTGGATTGCACTCCTTCCATGATCAATATATCCTTCCTTAGGTGTGGTGTCCAGATCTGCTCACAATACTCCAAGTGGGGTCTAACCCCAGTTCAGCTATAGGTTTGCACAGGAAAAAACATGCAGCGAGAACCCAAGAGATCTGTCGAAAATCAAAACATTCATCTCCACGGATAAGAAACTAAGAAATTAATTGAGAATTGTTCAGTTGTTCAGAGAAAGAGTTGTCTCACGTGGTCTCATTCTGTTAGTCCTGCATAAGGTTAAATTTTCAACAGAATTCTTTTTGATTCTAATTTTGTTGTCACTGTTCTGAGATCTGCTACTTCTATTGTATAGAAGCCATAGTCCTGTGTCATCTTAGAACTACATAAAGGAATGAATAGAAAGCTAAAATACCACAGAAGTAAAAACCAGAACATATTAACTGACCTTGAAAGTATTTACATCCGTGGAGAGAGAAACAGGACTAATGTTTCAGGATTTCCAGCTGGGATGTCAACTATTCTTCTCTCTCTACAGATGCTACCTGACCAGCTATGTGTTTTTTTTTATTTTTGTTTCAGATTTCCAGTGTTGCTATATCACTTTAAGAGGGAATATGCTAATGAGCAAGTGGTCATGATGTAGAGCATTGTGACAGAAGCTGTCATACAGTCAGTCTAGCTTTTAGCATATTGTGTGAGTGGGGTGTGATCGTACTTTCCTGTACGAGGCATTGCTGAATCGTTATAGTGAACCTGTCTGCTGAATAACCCTCTATCTATCTGTAATTTCAAATATACAGAGTCTACATTTAGGTTACCAATCCTGGTATGAGATTGGTACATTTGTAGAAAACAAAAAAAGAAGTACAACATGATGGCAGCAATGAGAGTTTGAAAAATGCAGGAAGAGCCATATATATAAAAAAAAAAGCTGTATGTACATTGAAACCCCAGCAGTTAGAATTTGTGTATAAACAGGCTCCCTGACAGTGACTATAAGATTTATGGACTAGCCAGATTGGTGATTCATGGGAACAACAAAGTTGGTTTTGAATTTGCAGTGCCATCATGACAACCTTGGGTTACATTCCCACGCAAAAGGGAAAAAGCCTCCAAGATGAAATACGCCTAAATTGCAGCCTAAATCAGAACAGAAAATAAAAAAGAAATAAAGAAAATATTGCTGAATCTCCCCACAGAAGCAAGGTAGTTACGGATGCCCTACATATTGGAAGTGATTGTAAAAGACAGGGAGCAACAGATAGATGACCGCCAAACTCCCTGGCATGAATTGGGATGTCCTACCTGAAAGCAGGCTTTTAAACAAAGGCAAACAGGTGCTTGCACCTGAAGCTGTTCACTAAGACATATTGCCACAGTTACACCTGGGGCATACAAGCTTAAAATGAATAAGATGCCTGGCAAAGGAAGTTATTTTTTGGCCAGGGATCAACTACATCATCAAAAATTTGCTGAGGATACCCGAGACATGCCAGAGTCACCAAAGAACCCCTGCACACTCATGAGATGCCATTGTACCTTTGGTCTGAAATTCCAACAGATTTATTCACTATGAATGGTGACTGTTTTCTCCTAGTCACTGACTACTTTTGCAAGTTACCAGTAATCAGAATAATTAAAGGACACCTCTGCAATATATAGCACTTGTTTGTGAGATCACAGATTTGGTCTTTAATAAATGCATTATGTGCCTTCTCGGACAGGAGGTGATTCAGTGTCTTCTTTGGTTATTCTCTTATTGCAGCTCAGCCACAATATGCTACAGTTGGAGAAAATAATTACAGTTTTATTCGGCACCATTAGTCATGTAAGTTCTTGAAATGTTCCTGCTATCTCTTTATTTTTGCTCTCTTATCAAGGTATAAACCATTGTTCCTGGTCTTCTAAATGGTTATTCTTAATCCGTGAGTCTAAATAATAAGCATCAATAACCTCTTAAGTAATGAGGATATCAGCTGAGATGAAATTCCATCTCACCGATATGTACCTGCAAGAGTCTTCTGATAAGGGTCAAGCATAGGTCTAGAACAGAATCTGAGGAACCCCACTAATAATGTTGTTTAATACATTAGCCACAAGCCACATTAGCTAAGTGGGAATCGAGATGTGACTAATAGTTTCATTGTTGATTAGTGAATAACGTTACATTAAAGATGAGAAGAATGCACTGTCTTTCCTTAGTTCCACTACTCCATGGATCACAATATGAATTTACTTGTTTACCCAGTCCTTGATAGGCTAGCAATAACAAGATCCATCAACCAGTCTTCTTTAGTAAACATAAAGCATTGATTTATTATAAAACGAAACTTATCCGACAAAGATGCAGAATTTTGTAATACGCAGTTTGTAATTTGAAAATATAAATGTTTACCCTCTAAGTAACCTAGAGTGCACACAAACACACACACATGCAAAGGTTTTTTGAGAAGATTTGTAGCTCGGGTCATGGATAGGTTACAGACTTGCTCGCTGAGCCGCTGTGTTTAATTGCAGACCCTGCTGAGTAACATAGAGTGTCTCCGGTGAAACGTTGGTGTTCTGTCCGGCTTGTTATTTATATGCCTCGGTTTTCTGGCTGATTGTAAAAACTGAAAAACAGAACCAGAAGTAACACCAACCACCCCAGCACTGTTCTGAACTGTTTCCAACACTTTAGCATCCGTCCTTAAAGTGGGAGACCAATACTGTATATCGTATTCCAGATGTGGTCTCTCCAATGCTCTGTGTTTCTGAATTGCCTTCACAATAAACCATAACCTTATATTAGCTTCCTAATTCTTTGCTGTAGATGCAGACTAAACTTTTGCAATTCACGCATTGTGACAGCACACATAACTGCATACATAACGTATATTTACCTGGAATATGTAGATAGTAATTATAATCAGTGCACGTGATCATAATATTGCTTCTACAACCAGACCTGTGGCTATTATATATACTTATAGCCACTTTAAAGAATTAAAATTGGATCTGAGACTTGATATCATACTACTGATAACATGTAGAGGAATTTTTCTGTTCTCTCCTCCCCTGTTTAAAGTGTTGTGAGCTGTCTAAAATGGACATTGTTATATCTTTGTCATTTCTTGGAACTTACTGGGAGCAGATTGGTAGACTTGTTTCATATAATAGTGACTATATTCAAAATTACTTCATTGAATGTAAAGTGTTTTGGGGCTCCTGAGGTCATGAAAGCTATAATGTAAGTGCAGGTTTTTCCTCCTGTGATCAATCTGTCTGTTACTGTATCAGTTTGTTCTGTAGCATCCAGAAATAGAAGACCAAGAGTTCCTAGGGTTGCAATTGAGTTCTACTGCTAATTGCTACATTTGACTGTTCCAAAATGTTAGGTACATGTGATATTTCCTAGGAGCAATGGAGGACCTGTTGCAAGGTTTTCAATAGGTCGCTCAAAGCATTTCAAGGGCCACTGACAACAGTTCCTGAGTCACAATTTGCTGGAGTTGGACAACAGGTAAAGACAGAAGCAAGCTCCATGTCAAAAAGAACCGTGAAGCTGTCTTGCTGAGAAGGCAAATGAATTACACTGTGTAGTTGAGAACTCTGTGAAGTTAAGAGCCATTGGAATGTCTTTATGATGTTACAACTCAGGAGGAGGTTTTAGGAGTTGGTAGGTAGGTAAATGTTGGAGTCGGGGCTTTGGAAAAGTTCCGGGAGCTGCAGGGGCTGTGAAGAAATTGCATGCCACTAAAAATTCCACTAATAATTCAATATAGTTGTAAGAGAAGATGTAGGAAACGCAAGCAGTTTCAACTATGAGCAACTGAGCCCGATTAGAACTCAGGGCTATACTAGCTTGGTGAAGCTTGCTGTTTTGTAAAAGATTGGGGCTGTGTATATGTGCTGGATTGCAGTTTCCAAGAATTCAGGAAATTGTTGTCCCAGGAAATGAAGGTGAACCAGTCGTTGAGAGAGTTTCAAAGCCAGATTTTCAAAAGCGTAGAGTCATAACTCCTTATGATGTTTTCATGAGACTTCAGTGACTCATACTGTCACTAATGTTTAGAGGGGGAATGGAGAGATTGCTGAGAAATCTGTGGAACCTGCCTTGATCTCAATTGCTATGTGTTATGCAGGGTGTTTGACCATAGCTTGTCTGTTGCCTATATTTGCCATGTGTTAAGTTTAGGATGTTAAACTGTAAGTCGTATCTATCTTTGCACAATCTAAAATTTATTTGTCAATAATCTTGCACTCATCAGGACAATTTGCAAATATCCCAGTGAAGGGGAAAGAACATCTATATTAGATGAGAGGAGAGTCCTGATGGTCGGCAGGTGAACTCTGCATTACCGTAGAGAATGCAACCATTAATAATGATCCATTAATAATGATTGATATTTAACTGCCAGGCTTGTTTTGATTTTTAAACCAGGCAGGTTAACACCAATCTGTCAAGGCATTGCCCTCGCAAAATGAGCCAGCTAATGGTTGTCATTTTTTGTTGACAAATTCCACAAAATGTATCTTTTTTTTTAGCAGCATTAAAATGTTAGCTATTGATGTGTCTACAAACTTAGGAAATATCAAGGAATCTATTGAAATTTTCAAGGGATTCTAGGGTATACATCAATATTTGAATTGCTATTCAGTCCAGTTTTTACACAAGAAATAGGAGCAGGATTACACCATATGTCCTAACAAGTTGGCTCCATCATTCAACATGGTCATGGTTGATCTTCGGCTTCATCTCCACTCTCCTGCCAATCCCCATTTCACTTGATTCATAGGGAGATCAAAAATCCGGTTCTCTCAATCTTAAATATATTCAATAGGGACCATATACACCCTTCTTGGGTAGAGAATTCCACACACTGACAATCTTTCGGTGAAGAGGTTTCTCCTCTCTCAGTCTTAAATGATTATTTGCCCTTTCGGAGACTGTTTCCCTGTGGTCTAGATTCAGAGGGAAAATGAATCTTCACTCAACTCACTCTGTCAAGCCCCTTCTTGAATGTTTTGTTATGACCAGATCCAGGCAATGTTCCCCAATTTAATACAGTTCCAGAAGGAACATCCTAAACTGTTAAGCTCATAATTAAGGAGGGATGAAATGGTTCACCTGTTTATTCATGCACCCACTCGATTAACCACAACAAGGTGAATTTTAAAGGATCCCTTCTCTTATGGATACCTTTCTCCCAGACCAAAAGAAAATTATATTTTAAAAGGAGCCAATTTGAGACACGCATTCTTGAGTTAACGAAGAGTGAATTTATTAATTTTTAGATGCAGAAATAATTTGTAACATGATGCATATGACAAAGCTTTTCATTGTACCTCAGTACACATGACAGTAATAAATCAAATCAAAAAATAAGAGGCGAGTTCAAAAGGATAAAACTTTTAAAAAAACATACATGCATCAGTTTTGATGAGCAGATAGCTGAACATTGCAATGGTGGTTACCAGTAATGTTGATGTTAGTAGTTTTAACTGTTGGTTTCACGATGCTTAATTTTGCAGATTGGTTAATAGTCTGCAGTTCTGATTTTTTAGTTGACTGTGATTCCAGCATTCGGCATGAAGGAGAATCCTTTTGTTGTCCTATTTCCTTTTGACTGGTTTGCAGCAAAGAGAGTGAGAAAAGGTGCAACGCAGGGTTTACTAGAGGATATTTCTTTGACTGTAACCTTCATAGCAGGCTAACGCCCAAACCCATGCACACAAGAGCCTTTAATCCCATTAGCACCCTCTAGGTAGAGTTGAAACTGGCTTTTTAACCCTGATCCTTATGTGTTCTTCAAAGGGAAAAACACAAAATAAGTCTGCACTTTGGGTCAAATTTGCAAGGGTGGCTTGAGTAGGGGGCATCAGTCCTTTGTTATCACTGTAGTCGCAAGAAATTACAGTCCAGTCTGTATTGACTTGCTTCTTACTCCAAATCTTTCGAAGGGCTATTGTATGAAGGCCCCTACACATGTAATGTTTTGTCAGTCTCTCTCTCCAGATAGTCACTTGATTTACATCAGCAGCCATTTTTAGCTGTAACAGCCCTCTTTTAAAAAGCCACATTTTGGAATTACAAGTTAAAAATGTTCACAGTACTTTAGGGTTCTCACTCATGGTTATGCCAGTTTCAATAAAGTGAGCGTTCATTCTTCTAAACTCCAGCCATTAAAGGCCCAATTTACTCTAACTCTAATCATTAAATAATTCTGTTAGCTCAGGACACAATCTAGTGAATTTACAACAGAGAAGCAGACCAGTCACTCCAACTAGTCTACAATGTTGTTTAAGCTGCACACAAGCCTCCTCTGAATTGACTGCATCTCAATTTATCAGTATTGCCTTCTATCCCTCTTGTGCTTATCCCTCAAATTCAGTTAACCTCCAGTAGTACCCGAAGCAAATCTATCAACCAGTTAAAACTCCAAAATTTGCAGATTATTCCTCCTAGAATCAAATGAAACTTCACATTATCGGTATAACATTATGAGTTATTGATCAAACACCTAAACCTTTTGTTTCCACAGATTGAAGCTCATGTCTTGGCAGCAAAGACACCATTGGAAGCTCTGCAGCATTGGGATCGTGGATATTTTATTCACTGTGGGAATGGAAGATCATTTGAAAACGCTGGTTTATGTGTCAATTTCATGGATTTTAACTGTTGCTGCCAAAATTAATATATTTACACTTCTACATTTCTCAGTTGCAATGTCAAATTCTGAGGAGATGCTAATCAGTACTAGGATGGAGTTCAGACTTGAATTTTAATTTCAGCCTTTCACCATGACACAGCATAAGGCTAATTGTACAAAGACCTGTTCACCTGACGGCTAAGGTGGTTAAGTTTGAATAGCTGAAGCATGTAAACAAGGGGGAGCTAACCACATCTCCAATTTGTGATGCTGGTGGGTCTCCAGTGGATTAGGGGTAATGGTGTCAAAATTGGTTTTCCTCCTTTGTGGTTTTAAGAAGAGGAACTGCAGCCACAGCAGCCCATCACCCTGTTGAATAGTCTTGCCAACCCTTGCTACCAGATTTGTTGATTCAGACCACCACTTAGTGCCCGCGGAACCACACCCAACTGTTGAGGAGAGAGGCAGGCTAAAAGAAGAGTAAAAAATAAAAACATACTGTTCCCTACATTACGAACTTTGCAAGATAGCAAGAACTGCAGATGCTGAAGTCAATACAGTGTGGAGCTGGAGGAACACAGCAGGTCAGGCAGCATCAGAGGAGCAGGAGAGTCAATGTTTCGGGTTGGGACCCTTCATCATGACATCAAAACGTCAACTCTCCTGCTCTTCTGATGCTGCCTGACCTGCTGTGTTCCTCCAGCTCCACACTAT